ATCAGCTACCTGGTGAGTTTATCTCCATTCTTCAACAAAATAAAAACTAAACATAGGTTTAAGAATTTGAAGAATTGGAAATGTATGGCAAAAAGCTAAAGGAGATTTTTGATCTAAGAAAATTATAAACAAATTAAGGAGCAAGACAAATTTCAAATATTGACTTTTACAAGGTTTTGAAATAACTATAAAAATAAATAGCTTCTTGTGGGCTATATTGGCTCAATAAGTGACTTTATGGTTTTAGAAACTGAACATTTCAGAGGACTAAATATTCTAAGTAGAAGGGGGGAGAAATATAACCATGCCTTTGGTGTCAGCTACAAAATGACACATTGGAAATAATAAAGGAGATCTTTGAAGAATGGAATCAGAAATTCAGAACAGAACAGAATAACAGGATTGGAAGGGACCCTGGAGGTCATCTAGTGCAACCCCTGCTCAAGCAGGAGACTCCACTTCACTCCAGACGAATGGCTGTCCAAATTTTTCTTGAAAACCTCCAGCAACGGAGCATCCACACCTTCTGAATGGAAGCTGTTACACTGATCAATTGTTCTGACTGTCAGGAAATTTATCCTTGGTTCTAAGATTAGTTTCAATCCATTGCTTCTTATCTTGCCTCTGGTGCTTTGGAGAATAGGTTGACACCCCCCCCCCTTTTTTTTTCTTTGGGGCAGCCCCTCGAATATTAGAATATGCTATCATGTCACCCCTGGTGCTTCTTTGCTCTAGACTGGACATACCCAATTCCTGCAACTGTTCTTCATATGTTTTGGGCTTCAATCCCCTAATCATCTTTGTTGTTCTTCTCTGCACTTTTTTTCAAAATCTCAACATGTTTTTTGTATTATGGTGACCAGAACTGGATGCACTATTCCAAATTAGTAGTTACAATATCAGCAGTGTCATTAATAATGTCTACATATTTGGATAGACTATGTCCAAAAGTTGCTACTGAAGGAATGACAGACGTGGAGAAAATCTTGTCTAATAAGACATAATACAGAAAGGGGAACTACAAATAACATGCCAAGAGAATGATTTGGAAAAGGACACTTTATTGGCTATACCAGGGGTAGGCAACCTTGGCTCTTTTATGACTCGTGGACTTCAACTCCCAGAATTCCTGAGCCAGCTGGCTCAGGAATTCTGGGAGTTGAAGTCCACGAGTCATAAAAGAGCCAAGGTTGCCTACCCCTGGGCTATACAAAAGAAACTGGGTGAAATTTTAAAAATTAAAAGAGAAATACAAATGATAAACCAAGAGAATTACCCAGAAAATGTTTTCTTATTAGATCTACAAAAGAATCTTGTAAAACCCTAGAAGAAATCTGGGCAATGGAATAATGGAAGAGGAATCAAATTTTACGACATTATTTGAAAGAACTAAAGATTAAGTCTGTTAGAAGTACAGGGAAGGAATCTAAAGTTGGTGTATCTGATCAAGATTAAGCCAAAGACATTTTGCTTGTAAAGTTCTGGCAGCTTTGGCAGACTGGGCAGTGGGCAACTACAAAGGAATGCAATGTGCCCACGTAATGCCTGACTGGCACCTCACTTCTGTTCAGGCGTTGTATGAGCTTCCTACACACACACAGGTTTGCATCCTTCAGAAAGAGTGCTGGACCTCGGTTTTAAATGCAGGTTCAGCAGTCTTAACTGTGAGAGGGACCTCGGAGTCCTAGTGGACAATCACCTAAATATGAGCCAGTCGTGTGCTGCAGCTGCCAAAAAGGCCAACACAGTGCTGGGCTGCATTAACAGAGGGATAGAATCAAGATCAGGTGAAGTGTTAATACCACTTTACAAGGCCTTGGTAAGGCCACACTTGGAATACAGCCTCCAGTTTTGGTCACTGCGATGTAAAAAAGATGTTGAGACTTTAGAAAGAGTGCAGAGAAGAGCAACAAAGATGATCAGGGGACTGGAGGCTAAAACACATAAGGAACGGCTGCTGGAATTGGGTCTGTCTAGTTTAATGAAGAGAAGGACGAGGGGGGACATGATAGCAGTCTTCCAGTATCTCAGGGGCTGCCCCAAAGAAGAGGGAGTCAAGCTATTCTCCAAAGCGCCTGAAGGCAGGACAAGAAGCAATGGATGGAAACTAGTCAAGGAGAGAAGCAACCTGGAACTAAGGAGAAACTTCCCGACAGTTAGAACAATTAACCAGTGGAACCACCTGCCTCCAGAAGCGGTGAATGCTCCAACACTGGAAGTTTTTAAGAAGAGACTGGACAGCCATTTGTCCGAAATGGTATAGGATTTCCTGCCTGAGCAGGGGGTTGGACTAGATGACCTTCAAGGTCCCTTCCAACTTTACTATTATTATTATTATTATTTTTATTATTCTGAAAGAGACTTCCACCCTTCTGATGACTTTGCTGTGTCAGCAGGGGCCACTCACTGCCAGCACCCTTTTTGCCTTGCAACACTTATCAGCTAGGAAAAGTCTGCAGGAGTTGCTGCTCCTCCTACTCAAGTGACCACGCCCAGGCAAAGCTGAGGGACAAGGGGGGAATCAGAGGGGGGGGGTCCCATTGCTTCTCCTAACCCTTTTGCTTTGTCCCTCAGACTATTTCTGAACCCGGGACTCCCGGCCACAAAGCAGGGCCAAAAGATAGCCTGGCTTCTTGGGGCCCAGAAGGAAGAGAGGAACTCTCCCTCCAGCTTCCCACACATCCTATCTCTGCCCCACCAGGGTATCACTGAGCTGTGCTGTCCCATAGGTTCATGGGGGGGGGGTTATTCTTTGCAGAAGATCCAAGTCCAGAAGTAGCCTGAATAACAGGTCACCAGTGCAAAGCACTTCCACATCAGTGTCCCAAAGGTGCTTTTTCCAAAAGGCAACTGGAGTGCCTCGGTTTTAGTTCCCTAGAAGTGAAGAAGCTCCTTGGACGAGAAGTGAAACATTTTCAAAGGAGAAAACAAGAAAGTCCATTTGCCTTTTGGAAAAGCACCTGTTGAAGGAAAAGTCTTCATCATGGTTCAGTCCAAGCCGGGAATGAACAACATGACGACTGCTTTAGAAAGAAGGTTGCAGTTTATTGAAGAGGAGAGCCAGACAGAAAGATGGCTCTGGCAGAAAAGAGAGAGAAAAAAGGGCTGAGCACATGTAGGGAGTGAGTTTTTATACCCTTTGGAGCCTTTTGTTTGGAGTTGTTCCTGTGGCATGAACTTTGACCTGAGTCTGAGTGTGCCCTTTGGCATCTGTGGGTTAATCCTATTATGTCCCGTCTTAAGAGTTTGGGTGGGGTGTGTAGATTTTAGGTGTCTTCGTCTTGCTAAGCTTCTAGCTGGGGGCCTCCAACCTTCCTAGATTATTTACATCTACATTTCTACAAAGCCGGTTTCTGCTTGGGGGAGGGAGACTTGGGGATATTAAGAAAAAAAAACTGGGCATGCTTTTCTGCCTCTTTAAGATCCTTTGAGGAAATATATTTTTCTGCCCTTTTAATATTTCCTTCTCTGGGGGAGAAAGAAAGAAAGAAAGAAAGAAAGAAAGAAAGAAAGAAAGAAAGAAAGAAAGAAAGAAAGAAAGAAAGAAAGAAAGAAAGAAAGAAAGAAAGAAAGAAAGAAAGAAAGAAAGAAAGAATTTTGCACTCGTCTCAAGTTCAATGTCCTTTTATTAATTTCAGTATCTTTCTTAAGCCCATCAGGTGCATTTCAAAAATTCTTTTTCTCTTCTAGTTTATTTGCTGATTGATGAAGCTTTGTGTTCTCCGCAAGAGTGATAANAAGAAAGAAAGAAAGAAAGAAAGAAAGAAAGAAAGAAAGAAAGAAAGAAAGAAAGAATTTTGCACTCGTCTCAAGTTCAATGTCCTTTTATTAATTTCAGTATCTTTCTTAAGCCCATCAGGTGCATTTCAAAAATTCTTTTTCTCTTCTAGTTTATTTGCTGATTGATGAAGCTTTGTGTTCTCCGCAAGAGTGATAAACTCCTTTCGCACACTTCTTGTTGAAATCACCCTTCTTTTCTTTTGCACAAGCCCATGCTCCTTTGCCTTCTCTTGGCACAAGGAAATCTATTCTAACAACTATTCCCCCCACTCCACACACACACTGTGGCTTTTGTGTCCAGGAGGGCAACTTCTGAGGGTGTGGGAGAACGAACCAGAGCTACAGAGGCAGGACATGAATCGTAAAGTTTATTCTCCTTCTGTGCGGCGGCATCACCACTCCTGGTTTGGAGAAACCCTTCTGCAAAGTGGTCCCATCGGGCCAGGCCGGGCCATTTCAGGCTCCGTGTTTGAATCTGACCACGAGTGGCCTCTCTGCCAGGAGCGCTCCCAAAGGGGCGCATTGTCTGCTCTCCCTCAGAGACCCAGGCTGGGCCCGGCTGGGCTGCTCAGCTGCCAGGGCTGCTTCGGAAGCCTCCGCCTATAAAATGCCCCTCAGCAGCAGAGGAACCACACACAACTCAGGGCTGACCATGTGCGCTCTGCGGATTGCTGTGCACTGCTGGGCCCGCATCTCAGGGCCTGCGAGAGTACCCGGGCTTCCATCGTTGTGGCCGACCATAGCTGGGCTGTTGCCTTTGGCCAAGGGCTGCACCATGAGGTGAGCAGGGTCACCCCATAGAACCAGGATGAAGGGCAGTCTGAGAGAAGGATCTGGGCCGTTCAGCGCCACTGCCACCCTCGGGAGGACTGGCAGAGGATTCGAGGTGGGAGAAATAAAAGAGCCCGTTTCTGTTCCCGGGTGGCCTCTGTCCTGGGACGTGTCTTCCCACGGCTGAGCATCATGGAATCCTGGAGACAGAGGGCTCTTTGAGGGCCTCAAGTCCTCCTCTCCACCCAGGGCAGGGAACCAGACAAAGCCATCCTGAGGGTGGGGTGGCTTCCCTCTGTGAAGGGGAGCTCAGGGAGGGACTGAACAGAAAGCTTATAACGGAATAACAGAGTTGGAAGGGACCTTGGAGGTCTTCTAGTCCAGCCCCCTGCTCAAACAGGAGACCCTGCACCATTTCAGACAAATGGCTGTCCAGTCTCTTCTTAAAAACCTCCAATGATGGGGCTTTCAAGACTTCTGGAGGCAGGTTGTTCCACTGGTTAATTGTTCTAACATTCAGGAAGTTTCTCCTTAGTTCCAGGTTGCTTCTCTCCTTGATGAGTTTCCCTCCATTGCTTCTTGTCCTGCCTTCTGGGGCTTTGGAGAATAGCTTGACTCCCTCTTCTTTGGGGCAGCCCCTGAGATACTGGAACGCTGCTATCCTGTCCCCTTCTCTTCTTTAAACTAGACATACCCAATTCCTGCAACCGTTCTTCGCATGTTTTAGCCTCCAGCCCCCTGATCATCTTGCTCTTCTCTGCACTCTTCCCAGGGTCTCAACCTCTTCTTTACTTGTCCTCACATGCAGTCATAATCTGCTTCCCTGCCATGCCATGTCCTGTCCATGGTCCAATTAAGAAAGGGCAGTCAGAACCACTGAAAAGGAGGGCTGGAAGGGACCTCCCAGATCTTCTCATGTAACCCCTCGCTCAGTGCCAGTCGCCCCAGAGCGTCTCTGACGGTCTCTGTTGGAAGAGGTCTAGCAAAGGAGAACTCCCTGCTTTGGGTGGCAACCTCTCCCACAGGCTGGAAGCTTGTGCACTCTGGAGGTTCCTCTTAATGTTGAACCCAAATCTTCTTCCTTGCAGTTGTAACCCGCTGGACCTGGTTCTGCCCTACTGGGGCAAAGTAGACACCCCTTCAGATGTTGGGGGACTGCCATGCTACCTCCCCTCAGGTCATTCCTGATAGGGTTTGGTTTCCAGACCCCCTACCTTCTCGAACCCACAATTTCTCCCTGCCCTGTTTGAACCTGTGCTTAGAATTGGGTACCTGGCCCCAGGTGAGGGCTAGCCAGGCAGTGTGGAGAGGGACCACGGCGTCCCATCCTCCAGTCTTGGCAATTGCATTCATGCATCTCCAAGTAGCCTTTGCTCAATGCATCTTGCAGGGTTTGGGGTTGATGAGGACCTCCAGATCCCTTTCAGACGTACACCGGACAAGCAGCCTCCCTCAATGTAGTTTTCCCCCCCCCCCTTCATTTTCCTCCAAGATACAGGATTGGACATTGTCCTGGGGTTCCTCTGTTTTGGCCTGAGTATCAGAGCATCCGGGTGGAATTGGGGGGGTGGGGGGGCAGATGGTGTGCCAGTCTTATCATCCTGAAAGGGTTGTGAGGATACTGAAGGAAAAGGGGGGATAGTTTCTTGAAGGAAAGTCCAGGTTAACAAACCCTGATCCTGACAATACAGCTGTATCTCCTGGCTTCCTTCATCCTGAATCTTCCATTCAATTAACAATTAACAATTGTTAACAATTAACCAGAAGTTGTGGGTGCTACATCACTGGAAGCTTTTAGGAAGAGACTGGACAGCCATCTGTCCAGAATGGCCTGAGCAGGGAGTTGGTCTAGAACAGGGGTAGGCAACCTTGGCTCTTTTATGACTGGTGGACTTCAACTCCCAGAATTCCTGACCCAGCCTGGCTCAGCTTGGAAACCTCTCCCTTTCCCCTCAGCATGGCTGGCTCAGGAACTCTGGGAGTTGAAGTCCACGAGTCATAAAAGAGCCAAGGTTGCTGACCCCTGGTCTAGAAGGTCTCCAAGGTCCCTTCCAATTCTGTCACTCTTATTTGCAGCTCCTCGTAATCCTGACCACCATCCCATCCGTTCCTCCAAGAGGGCCAGGCGGCCAGGCTGGGCATGGAGCCCCCTCCCTCCAACCGTTCCACCTTCAACCCCGCGGCTTCCTCCTCCTCTTTCCTCCTCCTGGGCATCCCTGGGCTAGAAGCACTGCACACCTGGCTGGCTCTGCCCTTCGGCTCCTTGTACCTGGTGGCCCTGCTGGGCAACTGCACCCTTCTCCTGCTCATCAAGACGGACCCCAGGCTCCACCACCCCATGTACCTCTTTCTCTGCATGCTGTCCCTCACGGACCTGGTGCTGTCCACCTCAGCGCTGCCCAAGATGCTGGCCATCTTCTGGCTCGATGCCAGAAGCATTGGCTTTAGCAGCTGCCTGGTCCAGATGTTTGTCATTCATGCCTTCACGGCCATGGAATCCGGCTTCTTCCTCGCTATGGCGTACGATCGCTACGTGGCCATTTGCCAACCCCTGAGGCACTCTGCCATCCTCTCGGGCAGCCGCATCGCCTCCATCGGCAGCGCAGTCCTGGCCAGGGGGCTGGTGTTCTTCTCCCCACACCCCTTCCTGGTGGGGAGGCTGCCCTTCTGCGGGCCCAAAGTCATCGCCCACAGCTACTGCGAGTTCATGGCGGTGGTCAAGCTGGCTTGTGCAGACACTGCCGTCACAAAGGCCTACAGCCTGACGGTGGCATCGCTGATTGGCGCCTTCGATGTCCTCTTCATTGGGCTGTCCTACGGCCTCATCCTGCGCACAGTCTGCCAGCTGCCCTCCAAAGAGGCCGGCCTCAAGGCCTTGGGCACCTGCGGGTCCCACATCTGCGTCATCCTGGTCTTCTACAGCACGGCTGTTTTCACCTTCCTCACCCATCGCTTCAGCCACGGCAGCATCCCGCCTCAGGTCCACATCCTCGTGGCCAACGTCTACCTGCTGATACCACCCACCCTGAACCCCATTATCTATGGGGTGAGAACTAAGCAGATCCGTGAGCGAGTGCTGAGGGGGTTCCATTGGAAGAGGGCCTCGTAAGCCCTCTGTGGGCTCTCCTTATCACCACCACCCCCAGATGACCCTCCTTGTGCTATGCCAAGGGAATATTCTATCTATAGCAGTTCTACGGAGGGTTTACAAAAAGGACTCGTAAGCTTTGAGACATGCTTGGATCAAAGTGAAGGGACAATGTGGAAGACCACTGTTTTTTTCAAGGAGATATTTTGATTTCTCCTTCATATTAAAAAAATATCTAGACATTTAGAGCTTACCCTGAACTAGGCTGCTTGATTCTTTTACTCTTGTTTGCTGAATAAAGGAAAAGGGGAACAAAATCTTCACTTGGCTTCAAAGCTGTGAAAGTCTCAGACTTTTGGTTCCCGTCCCGGAGCCGTGTGCCAGGCCTTGCAGTCTCCTGTTCACAGCAGGGCCATGAGGTCCTGGGGCCAGGTTTTGATAGAAGCCCCGGGTTGGTGTGCTTGGGAGCTTCTGCATGAAGCCTAGAACTAATTATGTGGGAATTGCTTCCCCCGACTTGGGGTATCTCTGTTATGGACCCCTAACCTTAACCCTTCTGGATCCAAAGGAATCAGCTGGGCACCTGATCACTGCCCTGACACTTGGCCAACACAAACCTGTGTATGCAAATATCTCACGGAGCCATCCTGACTGACCAAACTTCCCTGGTTGTCCCAAAGGTGCTTTTTCAAAAGGCAACTGGATTTTGTTTTTCCTTGAAGGCGTTTTGCTTCTCATCCAGGAAGGATCTTCAGTTCTGAATGAATGATGGTGGAGGATGGAAGGATTTTTATTCCTTGCAATTATCTGGTTGTTAGTGCTCTCTCTGAAAGAGGGGTCAAAGAGGCCATCTATGTTAACACTGAACATCCCTCCCTCAACGGAGGGGGAGGGATACGACACCACCCACCTCCTGTTTCCGACACCGTCCTTCCAGCAGTTCCAAGAAGGCTCCACACCCATCTGCACTCTGACCTGGGTGACTCTGAGGGCACAGATAAGCCTCCAAGTGGCCTCAATGATTCTCACAGGGAGTGCTAACGATCAGATGATTGTGAGAAATATAAATCCTTCCATTCCCCACCATTCAATCAGAACTGAAGAAGCTTCTTGGTTGAGAAGTGAAACATCTTCAAGGAAACACAAAGAAAGTCCAGTTGCCTCTTGAAAAAACACTTTTGGGACAACCGTGATCTGGATGACTGGAAATCTCCTTAGACATAGAGGAGGAGAGCACTTAAATT